TGGACTGGACCAGGCTGAGGTTGGTGGTGGGATGGAAATTGTTGAAATCATGGTGGAATTCCTCAAGGGCTTCTTTTCCATGGGTCCAGATGATGAAGATGTCATCAATATAGTGCAAGATAGAGTAGGGCCGAGGACATTGTTCTAAGTCAGCATAAAAATGGAGCCTCTGTGTGCCATCGGACCCATGCCGAGGAAACCCCAAATGCAATAGTTGGTGGGTCAAAGTCAGCCCCAGGTTACCGTACATTATCGACAGTGTTCTTCGGCTTGGTCCATCTTTGTAAATTTTGAGGGGGGCTTCCCCCACCAACATGGGAGGAAGGGGGGTGTAAAGAAAAAAAACAAATGGATTTTATTTTCCAAAGAAATGAGGGGTGTCTAAAAAGGGGGGGGGAGGTGGTGGGGGAGGGGGGGAGAGGAGGGGATCAAAAAAAAAAAAAAAATTCTTTTAAAGGGGGAAATCAAGGGGAGAAGGGGGGGCAAAAATTTTAAAGTTTTTTGAATATTGGGAAGTGATAGAATATACCAGGTGGGGGTTCCAGGGGTGTGTCTGTGCGATTTGATCTTGTGCTTTTCAGGGGAGTTTCTTGAGCAAATCTGTAGTTTCTTTTTAACTCTCAGTGGATCAATAATGCTTGTAAAAGGGTGTGGAGAGTGCCAGCCTCTTGTTCATATTCCGACCTATTCATGATGACAACACACCTCCTTTGTCACCTTTTTGATTATGATGTCAGAGTTGTTCTAGTGTGATATTGTGTTCCACACTGAGGTTATCAATGATCTGCTTTTCCACAATTTCACCCTCATTCCAGAACACTCTATTAGAAGTCCAGTCTGCTGTTTCGACCTTCAGGAGGAGTCCACCTAGAATCCTTCTTTTGTAGTGTTGGTAAGGAGGTCTCTGTGGATTAGTATGTTGTTCAGAGGCGTGTTGGAAATATTCCTTGAGTCAGAGACGTCAAAAATAGGATTCTAGGTCACCACAGAACTGTATCATGTTCGTGGGGGTGGAGGGGCAGAAGGAGAGGCCCCGAGATAGGACAGCTGCTATTTTCGACGTATTTGCTCCAACCCCTCAGACAGAGACAAACACCTACAAGATATCTATCAAGCATTCTTACAACTACAATACCCACCTGCGGAAGTGAAGAAACAGTTTGATAGAGCCAGAAGAGTTCCCAGAAGTCACCTACTACAGGACAGGCCTAACAAAGAAAATAACAGAACCACTAGCCGTCACCTTCAGCCCCCAACTAAAACCCCTCAACGCATTATTAAGGATCTACAACCTATCCTGAAGGATGACCCAACACTCTCACAAATCTTGGGAGACAGGCCAGTCCTTGCCTACAGACAGCCTCCCAACCTGAACAAATACTCACCACAACCACATACTACACAACGGAACCACTAACCCAGAACCTATCCTTCAACAAAACCCATTCCAACTTGCCCACATATCTATTCAGGGGACACCATCACAGGGCCTAATAACATCACCACACTATCAGACTCGTTCACCTCACATCCACCAATGTGATATATCCATCATTCCACAACCCCTCTCCATGTACATTGTCAAACTGGACAGTCTCTACGTAAAAGAATAAATGGACACAAATCAGATGTCAAGAATTATAACATTCATAAACCAGTCGGAGAACACTTCAATCTCTCTGGTCACGCGATTACAGACATGAAAGTTGCGATATTACAACAAAAAAACTTCAAATCCAGATTCCAGCGAGAGACTGTTGAATTGGAATTCATTTGCAAATTGGATACATTTAACTTAGGCTTGAATAGAGACTGGGAGTGGCTAAGTCATTATGCAAGGTAACCTATATCCCCTTGTTTTTTCCTACCCGCCCCCCCCAGACGTTCTTGTTAAACCCTGGATTTGTGCTGGAAATGGCCCATCTTGATTATCATACACATTGTAAGGAGAGTGATCACTTTAGATAAGCTATTACCAGCAGGAGAGTGGGGTGGGGGGAGGTATTTTTTCATGCTTTGTGTGTTTAAAAAGGATCTTCTACACTTTCCACAGTATGCATCCGATGAAGTGAGCTGTAGCTCACAAAAGCTTATGCTCAAATAAATTGGTTAGTCTCTAAGGTGCCACAAGTACTCCTTTTCTTTTTGCAAATACAGACTAACACGGCTGTTACTCTGAAACCTAACTTTACTCAGAGAAAAAGAAGCAGCTAGCCTAACTAAAGTGTTAAATGGAATTGACAGGCATGACCACAAAGATCCTTAACTCTCAAAAGAAAGAAATTCAGATCGAATAGATATTGTTGTACAATTCACTGGATTAATTTAGCATTTACTCTCTCTAGTGGTATGGATTTATACTAGACACTTGCATAATAGGAAATTGTGCTTCAAGTAATATCAATATAACAGTATCACTACTACAAATAAATACATACACTCTACACATACTACATGCATTTAAACTTGTAGTTGTGGATATCATGGATCCTTGGTCAAGGTATTGCACTCTGTGTGGTCGCTGAAGGACATAAATGAAGTCCTAACATTTCAAGCAACTGAGAAGTCTGTGAGGCTTAACCTGTTTTAAGAAAATATTTACACTTAATCTTGCTCCTGGCCTAGGAATAGAATTGTTTCTGTCTTCATGCAACTGATCTTATTGTGTGCATTTACACAGGGATAAAAAACGTATGGCTGGCCCTGGTCAGCTGACTCAGGCTCTGGGCTGAAAAATTGCTGTGAGGACATATGGGCTTGGGCTAGAGCCCAAGCTCTGGGACCCTCCAGATGTCTATGCAGCAATTCTTCAGCCCCGAGTCCAAGCACTGTCAGCTCAAGTTAGCTGCCTAAGCCAGCCGTGGGTTTTTTATGCATGTGTAGACATACCCATTCTCTACCAAACTTTAAGGGAAACAAACTCACATTTAAGAGGTCAGGTATAGGAAATGATAACTTGCTTACAAAAATATTCATAGCTTTCTGATAGAATACAAATCTGTGATTCTTGACATACTTTATTTAAAAAGCCATCATTTTATACAATAATAGCTTTCACTTGCATGTTTCATTTGCATGCATATCTATCTCCCAACACTAACTGTGCTGCAAGAAAGATTTTTTTGGTTTACTTTTTTCAGATACCAAGGTGACAGGTGAGATTGTCACAACCTAGCTATTGCGGCTCTATGTATTAAAGCAATAAATATGCCATAGTTGGACCATTCCAGCATAGCACTTAAGCACGTGCTTCACTTTAAGTGCATGACTAGTCTCACTGAGCATTAATGGTGTGACCCCTATTATGGATTATTTACCTAATGAGACGAGACTAAACCCAATCCTGACCAAACTGCAAGATGCAGTTTTTCACTAAAACCTTCCTTGGTAATAACATCTTTCTCATGGGCAGGTCACAGTTCAGAGAAAAAAAGCAGATCAGAAGCAAAGAGTAGGAGGGAGAGGAAAGAAAAAAAAATACAGAAACATATGAAGGTGGAAAAATAAAGCTCTAAACTGTGTATTAAATAACTCCGTAGATGTGCCTGGTACTTCACAGAAAAAATAAAGACAGATTTCCTACAAAGAAAATTTACAATCTAAGGTCCCAATCCAACACATACATGCATGCCTAACTTTATGCATTGACTTTATTGGGACGACTTGTGTGTAAAGCAGTGTTGCCAGCTCTTATGGTTGATGTTGTAAGAAAGTTGTGGGTTTTTTTTTTTGGTTCAAAAGTTGTGGCTAGTTTTGTTAAATTTGCGGTTTTGGGGTGGTCAGACATCAACATGTCACTAGGCAGGTGCTCCTCTGGGGAGTCTATCTCAGGATTCCCTTCAACCTGTTTTCTGGTGAAGACTGAAGACCCTCCCTGGGTACTCCCACAAGGAGCATAAGCCCTGTGTGTGCACCCATACATAAGTACCAGCGCTTAGTCCAAGACATACAGTTTACCTTCCAAAGCTGGACAACAGCACAGAAGGCGAGCATAACAAATGAGTGGTCTGGTCAAATATGAGTGAGTGATGCTCTGATGTGGTGCATGGGGTCTTAATGTCACTCCAATTTGCAACTATAAAAAATTGCAGTGTGTTAAAAGTTGTGGTTTGCACAACAAAATCGCAGCCTGTGATTTCCTTACAGCCTCATAATTTTAGTTTGTCTGATTTTTAGTTTTTCCGTTAAGCTTTGTGCCAGAACCATGAAAATCTGAGCATTCATTATTTCTCAAATTTCTAGTCCTCCTGGTTGCAGAGAACAGCTTTAAAATCACGAAGTAATCATACACTAAAGGCTCAAAATCCCGAAGGCAAATTAAAAAAGAGCGTTTACTTGATTAGTAGCAGTATTACCTCAGCACCCAGGAGCCCATCAGGCACCAGGCCCTGTTGTGCTAGGTGGCTGTACAAACACAGAACTTAGACTCTAAGTAAAGCTCTCGAAAGGCCAATCTCTGGGCTCTACCCGGAGAGGGGGAGGCGGCTTTTATGAATGGCTGAGGCAGGCTGGCAAAGCTAAATCTGAGCACGTGCACAAGCGTTTGCGAGATCTAGGTCCTTCCATCAGCGGGCTCCACGAGACACAGTGACAGGACAACACTGGCTAGGAGGCGCCAAGCGCAGCCGCCGCGGGGCTATTTTTAGAACGTCAGGCCCCGGGGGATGCGATTTTGACGCCCGCAGGGCTGCAGCAGAGGCGGAGCCGCTCCCCCCACCCCGATGCAGCGTTCAGTTGGCGCATGCGCGAGACTCACCGCCTCCTCTCCCCCCCCCCGTCCCCTTCCACTGTATAGGTGACTAGGGAGTTGCCTGTTTTCTGACGAGGGGCTGCGAGTCCTGAGGAGACGGAGCAGTAGGGGGGACTCATAGCTGACTCCATACAAACCTCTCTGTAAGGTCTGTTTGTTCGGCGGCTGAAGCAGGGCCGCCTCATTGAGGCACAGTGAACGCAGGCAGCCAACAGGACAGCCCCATGTTGGTGATTATATCTGGCACCTGCAACGTGGGGTCCTTGAATGACATTGGGCCTTACAGCGCGTTAGAGAGACAAGACTTCCCCGAGAGGCCGAGTCAGGGTCTGGCAGAGCGCGAGACCCCCCCCCACCCAACCGTCACCATGTTCCGACTCATGCTCAGTCAGGCCAAGAAACATCCAAGCGTGCGTTCCGGAGGGCGGCGGCTCTGCCCGGAGCCGGGCGGTTGTCGGCAGGGGGAGGGCAGCCGGAGCCGGGCGGGCTGTGGGCAGCCGGAGCAGGGCGGTTTGTCGGGAGGGGAGCCCGGGGCCGGGCGGTGTGTCGGGAGAGGCGGGGGCGGCCGGAGCCGGGGGGTTTGTGGGGAGGGGCGGGGGTGGAGGCAGCCTCAGCGCTGTAGGGGTCGGTTGGCGGCGGGACTCCCCTGGCAGGGGACTGTGGGCAAGAATCCCACCATCTGCCGCTCTCATGGGCTTAATCCCGCTGCAGGGAGAGCTCGGTCACCCCTTGCGGGTCTCCTGCCCTTCCCCGCCCCTTCCCGCCGGTTCTGGCTCCTCCCCAGGCTCCGTGCCCCCCCATCCGGGACTAGCGCCGCCTTGGTGTGACAGCCCCTTCCGGAGACCCGTGTGAGCCCAGCGGGGCGGTGCTGTCGTCGCCCCTATTTTTCAGAGGCAGCTGGGCATGGCCCTAGAGTGAGAGTAGTTTAGAGGCCCAGGACCCCGTCGCCTTCCTGCAGCGCGGGCCCTTTCCAAGCCCACTTATGGTAACGACGTGATTTTTTTCAACCCGTTTTCTCGGCTCTTGTGAACTAGCGCGCCAATCGCAGCTGCTGACAGTGTTACCCTAGAGAATCAGAGGGTTAACTTCTGCCTTCTTCTGGGCGTTGTGGGGCACTTGGTAGTGGCATGTACCTGTTCCCCACCTGCTGTTCCAGAGGAGCAGGATCTCCTAGCATTAGGACACCGTACGGGCATGCTGGGTCCTTCATGACTAGGCACTCAACCTACTTGGTGACTTTCGGTAGGGTGGCTCAAAACTGATGAGCCAAATGTGTGATCACTGGGCAGGGCTTGATTTCCAGCTTTGTTTTCTAAGTGGCATTATGTTTATGTTCTAATCTCTCATTCATTTCCAAATCCTTTGTTCTAGTTGATCCCTCTCTTTATCTTTATTGGAGCTGGAGGTTCTGGCGCAGCCCTGTACATTATGCGCCTGGCAATGTTCAACCCTGATGTCTGGTATGCATAAACTTTACAGTATCTGTATGTATATGCGTGTGTGTATATATGTGTGTATGTGTATATATAAAAATATAATATTCAAACAAACTTTGGTGTTTATGAAAAGCTTGGCACTCCTGGAGGCCCATGTTTCTAGCTGAGCTTCAGTGTGCTTCAGAGTTGAGTTTGAGGAAATTATGATTCCATGCTCATGAAGTAAATTTTGAAGACTACCTACAGTAGTGGTGGTTTTGTTATGTGCAAACTTATCAGGACAGACAAGCATTTATGTTCTTTAAGTAATTAAACACCAGTTCTATAATATATAATGCATGTTAAAAGCAGTGTGATTGGTTTATACCTTCTGCTATATTACTGTATTTTTCTTTGTAGTTGGGACAAAAAGAATAACCCTGAGCCTTGGAATAAGCTGGCTCCCACTGATCAGTACAAGGTAAGAGGCAGAAAGGCTTTTAGCCATTAGGGCATCGGCTAATCTACAGATGTACGTTATCTGTGGCCTGGCTACTTTTGGAGGCTCAGCTCCGTGTGAGGCACTGGAGAGAGGTGGTGCAGGGAGGACAGAATATGCTTCCCTTGCTGTCAGTTACTGCCTAGGTTTGGATTGGGAATTAGCAGTGGAGTGATGACTTGATTTGGGAGGCAAGGCTAGATTTGAATATTAAAATGAGACCTCTTATTTAAAATTACCTTTGCTTGGAGGCAGTGTCTAATGAGCTAGAAGTCTTGTTACCTAGGGCAAAGTGTTGAATGAAGAAACTAGTGCTGCAAATAAATTTTTCAATTCCTTGATACAGAACAACAAGGAAGAATATGCTACTCAGTAGTCAGTGTTAAATTGATATTGGAGGGAGGAGGGCAAAAGCTTTGCGCTCTAAACTACACATAATAGATGTCATGCTAAAATCAGTTTTGGAATCCAACTATTTTGATTTCAGTACTACTGCAAAAGTCTTAAATAATTTTTTATGCTTCTATTAGGATGATCAAATAAGTACAGTAGAACCCTGCTAACTTGCAGAGAGTGGGGTGTGTACAGCACACTATTTTTTTTGTTTATTCACAAACTTTATCTATGTACTTCACTTGGACAACTATGACCCATTTTTTATGACTTAGTAATTTGATAGGAAATCTTACATTCTAAAAATCTTCTGCTAAACCAGAGACCCTCATTTGTGAAAATTGAAGTGTAAACTATTGTGGTTGTATAATATTGCTGAACCCTCTTTTGCTGCATTTCTCGCTTGTTAGTCCTTCATTTCAGGAATATAGGCATTGTAAAGAGAGCTTTTGCAAGACTTCCGAAAAGGATCACTTAGTTGAGACAAACAAGATATGTGAGTCTCTGGGTCCTTTTTACAAATGCTTTTTTGTGACAGACTACAAAAGAAGTGTCTCCATTGCTATTCAAAGATACTTTTTTTTTTTATTCCAACCTCCTCTATTGTTTACCATACCAAAGTTAATTTGTATGTTAAAAAATACTGCCTTTGCTGTAAACTATTTATAATACAGACCTCACAAGTGTTATGGTTAAACACTATTAAAGTTTGTAGAGTATTTTGAAAACAAAAGTGCAGTATATTTCCTATTTTATAGAATCATAGAATATCAGAGTTGGAAGGGACCCCAGAAGGTCATCTAGTCCAACCCCCTGCTTGAAGCAGGACCAATTCCCAGTTAAATCATCCCAGCCAGGGCTTTGTCAAGCCTGACCTTAAAAACCTCTAAGGAAGGAGATTCTACCACCTCCCTAGGTAACGCATTCCAGTGTTTCACTAAGAGGGTGGTGAAAAAGTTTTTCCTAATATCCAACCTAAACCTCCCCCACTGCAACTTTGGACCATTACTCCTCGTTCTGTCATCTGCTACCATTGAGAACAGTCTAGAGCCATCCTCTTTGGAACCCCCTTTCAGGTAGTTGAAAGCAGCTATCAAATCCCCCCTCATTCTTCTCTTCTGCAGACTAAACAATCCCAGCTCCCTCAGCCTCTCCTCATAAGTCATGTGTTCTAGACCCCTAATCATTTTTGTTGCCCTTCGCTGGACTCTCTCCAATTTATCCACATCCTTCTTGTAGTGTGGGGCCCAAAACTGGACACAGTACTCCAGATGAGGCCTCGCCAATGTCGAATAGAGGGGAACGATCACGTCCCTCGATCTGCTCGCTATGCCCCTACTTATACATCCCAAAATGCCATTGGCCTTCTTGGCAACAAGGGCACACTGCTGACTCATATCCAGCTTCTCATCCACTGTCACCCCTAGGTCCTTTTCCACAGAACTGCTGCCTAGCCATTCGGCCCCTAGTCTGTAGCGGTGCATTGGATACTTCCGTCCTAAGTGCAGGACCCTGCACTTATCCTTATTGAACCTCATCAGATTTCTTTTGGCCCAATCCTCCAATTTGTCTAGGTCCTTCTGTATCCTATCCCTCCCCTCCAGCGTATCTACCACTCCTCCCAGTTTAGTATCATCCGCAAATTTGCTGAGAGTGCAATCTACACCATCCTCCAGATCATTTATGAAGATATTGAACAAAACCGGCCCCAGGACCGACCCCTGGGGCACTCCACTTGACACCGGCTGCCAACTAGACATAGAGCCATTGATCACTACCCGTTGAGCCCGACAATCTAGCCAGCTTTCTACCCACCTTATAGTGCATTCATCCAGCCCATACTTCCTTAACTTGCTGACAAGAATACTGTGGGAGACCGTGTCAAAAGCTTTGCTAAAGTCAAGAAACAATACATCCACTGCTTTCCCTTCATCCACAGAACCAGTAATCTCATCATAAAAGGCGATTAGATTAGTCAGGCATGACCTTCCCTTGGTGAATCCATGCTGGCTGTTCCTGATCACTTTCCTCTCATGCAAGTGCTTCAGGATTGATTCTTTGAGGACCTGCTCCATGATTTTTCCAGGGACTGAGGTGAGGCTGAGTGGCCTGTAGTTCCCAGGATCATCCTCCTTCCCTTTTTTAAAGATTGGCACTACATTAGCCTTTTTCCAGTCATCCGGGACTTCCCCCGTTCGCCAAGAGTTTTCAAAGATAATGGCCAATGGCTCTGCAATCACAGCCGCCAATTCCTTCAGCACTCTCGGATGCAACTCGTCCGGCCCCATGAACTTGTGCATGTCCAGCTTTTCTAAATAGTCCCTAACCACCTCTATCTCCACAGAGGGCTGGCCATCTCTTCCCCATTTTGTGATGCCCAGCGCAGCAGTCTGGGAGCTGACCTTGTTAGTTCAATATAAAAAGTTTAAACCTCATACTTGTAGCAGATTCACAGTCCGTTTAGCTTCTCGAGTTAACCATCACTGGCACTAGAAAAAACTCAAGTTTACCTAAGATATTGTTACCACAGTATCTTCAGTATTATGCTTACTAAAAGGAAATCTCCAAATGCTGACATTTTGTTCTAAGGCAAATGGCCATACGTAGTGTAGTTTTTTTACACTTCTGGAGAAAGGTCAAAAGAAAAACCCACTTTTGCACTCTTTATCAGTTATGTTAATGGGAAACTATCCTAGGTGTAAGATGCTTTTATTTAATGCTAAAAATATGCTATAGGTTGGTCCTCTTCTGAATAACGGTATAACTTCTGTAGTGTTCCCAGCCTTGTACTGGCATAAGAAGCAGAAATCTCAAGGTTTACCATATTTGGTCCTGTGTATCCTTTGCATTTTTTCCTGGCAGTGTCACTAAAACAACTCCTCATGTGTTGTGGAAACTAAAGTAGTTGAAAGTATTGGAAATTATAGATACAGTGGCTGATGACGTATAATTCTGATAAACACAATAAAAAGTTTCTTTTTAAAGCAGATCTCTAGGGAAATTTGTTAAGGAAAGCAACTGTTTTCCAAACTAATTTGCAGAATCTCAGGATTATAGTGAGTAAGGTAGAAGCGTGTAATGAGAATGAATGTGTTTATGCAATCTTAACCCCTTCGTTCTAGTTGCTCAAACTTGCTAAAACTCGCTGGATTTGGTCTCTGACCAAAGGTGACTTGTTTTGAAGTATGGGTTTAAAAAATGGCTCCAAAGCTTGAACCCTGTAACTTGAACTTAAAGCAAAAATCTATATGCAGTACACTTTTCACTGCACAGCTCAAGTGAGCCTGTATATTTTAGCTGTATAAGTGTACAAGCTGAAATCCTGATCCTCCAAATTGATCTCCATGGGTATATCGCTGAACCCATACAAGTAAAGTCGGTGGGCTCTGCACAGGCTTGCCTGCACAGATCAGCTTGGTGGGTCAGGATTCTTATGAGAAATCCGAAGTTAATACGGTACTTGTAGTTTTTTGTCAAATGATTTGTAAGTATTCAAATCTTTCCTGGAATGCTCAAACCCCTCACTAATGGAAATGCCTGTTTCCCTGTCAAATTTCATTTGTATATTTCCAGATATTCTGGTCGGAGGGCTGCTAAGTCTTGTGATTTTGGGGGGGCTACCCAAGAGCTGAATCATTCAAATGTCTCCAAAAGCTTGCTTTTGGATAAAGATCATGCCTGTAAAACTTCACTTCGAGTTTAAAAATTATGACTGATAACATAGAATGGATGTTAGAATGGATACGGTTATATACCTTAGTTGTAATGGTTACTGCCACTCCTGCTGTCATTAAGTCACTGCTTGCTTATTTAGTCAAAACATATGTTTAACAATGTCTTATTCAACCTTGGATGCTAAAATATGCCTTACTAAGAGTCAATATTTGATCAGTACTTCAGTATTTGACTTATTTCCTTGTCATGCATTGTCTAAGCTCTTAATACAAGATGTAGAAGATCTATTCTCTTTCCGATGTTATACCTTCCTGTCTGTCCCGCACTACGGTGACATTTATTTTAGGACTGGTCCAGATTGTGATCTGAGCTACAGTCTTTGAACCCAGAAGACCACTTGGTTAACCATGCAGCTTTCACTAATACTGTTCTAAAATGTTCTCTTGCCCACTTTATGCACGTTCTCTCATTCTTTTCTGTTTATGTATTGCTGTACTTAGTGCTTCACAATTCTCCCTGTTAACAGCATCTGGTGTATGAATAAGGCTACAGCACAAAAAGCTGTTCAATCTTACCCTTGATTTTTTTCCCCCCTATATCCTGGTCTTCACAAGATAGTATGAGGGATTATCTCTTTTCTATCCGTGAGGACCTCTGTGATCATTAGGGATTGGCAACTGCTCTAAATGTATTACTCAATAGGATTAGGAATCTAAATTTGATGGCACTGAGAATAACTGCTGTTAGAGTGAATGGAGGCTTCTAATCAGCTCTCCATGGCTAATCTTGGTTTAAACCATCACTTTCACCTGGTGATTGAAACAGCCCTCTGTGCCACTTTGGTGCTAAGATCAGGGGATGCCAGAGAACTTCCTTTGTGTGGTCCGAGAGGTGTACAAGGGATGCAGCACCACCATTCGCTTGGTCGAAGGGGAGACCGCCGAGATCCTGATCCAGAGCGGAGTTAAGCAGAGCTGTCCCCTCAGCCCCATCATCTTTAACCTCGCCATGGAGCTGTTGCTGAGAGCGATCTCCAATGGCACAGATGGCTTCAACCTCCACAGTGAGAGGGTGAGCATCCTGGCTTACGCGGATGACCTGATCTTGACCGCGGAAGACCGAGAGAACCTCCAGCGTATGCTAGATGCCACCAGTCGAGCTGCTGACTGGATGGGGCTCCGCTTCAGGGCAAAGAAGTGCGCAACTCTCCACGTCGACGGCAGCAAAATGGACTCAGTGCAGACAATGGGGTTCCAGGTCCAGGGTGAGCCTGTCGTCCCCCAGCAGAGGGGCAGGCATACTAGCACCTCAGCACGCTGACAGATTTCCATGTCTGGCAGACACCTGAGGACACCATCCAGGAGATCTTGCAGGATGCCAACAAGATTGACGCCTTCCTGCTAGAACTGTGGCAGAAGATAAACGCCTTGAACACCTTCCTGATCCCCCGCATCTCATTCGTCCTAAGGGGATCCGCGGTGGCGAAGGTACCCCTCAACGAGGCAGACAAGATCGTCCAGCAGCTGGTGAAGAAGTGGCTATAGTCTACATCGCCCACAGGCATGGAGGTGCCAATGTCCCCTGCATGGGCGACCTGTGTAACATCATGGTGATCACCCACGCCTTCTGCCATGCTGACGTGTCCCGACGCCATGGTAAGGAACATCACGGCAAACACCCTCCATGATGCAACAAAGAAGCAGATCGGCAGAGCCTCCTCCAACCAAGACATCGCCACCTTCCTGAGCGGTTCCCTGGATGGCGAATTCGGACGGGACAGGCGTGACATCACTTCACTGTGGTCCCACGCTCACAATGCCATGTGTTGCTGGGGGAAGCACATCGGCTGCCGCTGAGAGTGGTGTGAGGAGCACCAGGAGCTGGGAGTCCTGGTGCTGCAGAACAGGTCCGATGACAACACCATTGTCACCCCAAGCACTCCAGGGGCATGCTGGAGAAGACCCTGAAGGCAGCCATCCACTCACTGTACATGGAAACCCTGAAGCGTAAACCAGATCAGGGTAAAGCCTTCGAACTGACCAGCAAGTGGGATGCCAGCAACCACTTCCTTGCTGGGGGTGGCTTCACCCGTTTCACCGACTGGCGGTTCATCCACCATGCCTGACTCAACTGCGTCTCACTCAACAGAGCCATCTGCCACAAGACAAGTGTTGCAGGAAGTGCGGCTGGTCAAACAAGACCCTGCCCCATGTCCTGTGCAGCTGCAGGCCCCACTCCAGAGCCTGGCAGCTGCACCACAATGCCATCCAGAACTGTTTGGTGAAAGCCATCACACCACTCCTGGGGGAGGTGGCCGTGAACTGCGCCATCCCCAGTACAGACAGCCAGTTGTGACCTGACGTGATAGTCACCGACAAGGCCAGAAAAAGATCATCCTCGTCAATGTCATGGTCTCCTTTTGAGAACAGGACCCCGGCCTTCTGCGAAGCCTGAGCTCGTAAGCTGGAAAAATATGCTTCTCCCCCCCCCCCCCCCCCCCGGCCGACACCCTGAGAACGAAGGGCTACGAGGTGCAGATGGATGCCCTGATCATCGGAGCCCTGGGTGCTTGGGACCCCAGCAACAAGCGTGTGCTGCAGACCCTGTGGATCGGCGACGCTACGCATGGCTCATGCGGCGTCTCATGGTCTTGGACACCATCCGATGGTCCAGGGACATCTACATTGAACACATCACCGGCCACCAACAGTACCAGGAGGTGTGAGCCGGTACGACGACATGCATCAACTATGAGAAAGGGACAGAGACTTTTTCCATTGGACCACATGAACTGGAACCATAAACTCACTGAACATTAAATCTCACCAAATGAGGGTAAATCCATCCTCCTCATTGTATCCACTCATTATACTCCACACCTGAACATAGCCATTATATGAACAAGATACCCCCATATCTCAGTGTCTGTACTTTGACCCGTTAACCTTTTTACTCCCAATCGGGGAGATTGCAGGTTATGTATTCCTTACGCCACCTGTTCCTAAACCAAATTTCGCACCCCTTGATAATCTGTACCTTATTCCCTGATAACCAGAAACTTCCATGCTTAAACTCTGTACCGTTTTCTTTTTACTTCAACATCATCTTAATAAAATTATTAAATTAGTAATTTATCCAAAGATGACTGGAGAGGAAAGGACACTAATAACTTCCCTGTTTTTGAAAGTGAACCTGTCCAAACCATTAGTTCTCCATAATGTGGTATGTTAAAGAAGCTGAGGTACAACCATCTATGGACCGTCTCTTCCAAATTCTGTATATTAATGTTCAAATATTTAATCCTGGGGATGGTAAGGAAGTTCTGTGGGTTCTTGATGGGCAACAGTTAGAAAACAACTGGTTTAAACCTTGCAGTGAAGCTGTCTTTCAGATTCACTTTAACTTGGGGCTCTTGTGACATATGATAGAAAGCATGTACCATCAGAACTTAAACTAGAAATGTATTTTAAAACATGCAGCTCTTGTGCTAAAGTCCATCTATGCACTTGACTATACTAATGTCTCAAAGAAAATGATGTGGTGTATATAGCAATAACTGTTTGTTTTCAGTTAAATTGAAAGTAGTCTTCTCCCCTAGTACAGACTTGGATCTTGTCCTGATCAAAACCCTCTTTTTTTTTTCCCCCCTCCCCTCCCCCACTCCCTCTTAGTTCTATTCGGTCAATGTGGACTACAGCAAACTGAAGAAGGATCGTCCTGACTTCTAAAGAACAAATTCTTCTCCCTTTACAAGCTGCACAGAATGAAGGTCTTCCAGAAGCTGTCCGCACAACTAATACACTTAATCATCCAGGAAATGTTAATTAAGCTTGCCTCACATTGCACTTTTAATCATGTGCTGGAAAGTAGCTTGTTGGGGCTTAATAAACATCTGAAACTTGTGGAGCGTCTAATGTTTTATTTCATGAAATAAAAATAGATTGATGCTGACACTGGCAATTGCATAGTCCAGATATCTGGCCTGTCAAATATTCAGGAAAAATAGAACTGGCATTTCTTCTCCTAAAACAACCTCTGAAATAAGGCTGTTGACTTTACTTTTTAAGAAAATGCCTCCCCTTGAGAACAGTGATTAAAAACAATATCCTCTGTCACTGGTATTCTCAGAAGTTAACTTAAAGTTGTCTAGCAACTGTCAAGATCTTGACTGACCAAGAAAATAGAGATGTTGCAGTTCCTTTTAGTGAGAGGCTCTTTTGTATCACCTTTCCTCAAGCACGAGTTTTTTCTAATTTGTCAGTGCTGGAAGTTCCTGGGTGTGGTTTTTGAAGTATAAAAATGAAAACTGGTCTTCTACAAACCTGCTTTAAACTGTAGTTATCACACTTGTCAGAGGTACAGCTAACTCTGATCCCTTTCAAGTCTCAGTGTACCTCTAACAGCTATTGGCATTTTTGCATTTGGTTCCACTCTAGGGTATCTCTACGCTGCAAATAAAAACCCATGGCTGGACTGCATGTTGGCTTGGGCTGTGGGGCTGTTTCATTGCAGTGTAGCTCAAACTCAAGTCAGCTGGCACAAGCCAGCTGCAGGTATCTCACTGCAGTGTAAACATACCCTTAAACAGCATCCTGGGATATAGTACTCCTTGGGTCAACTGTGCTTCCCTCAGCAGGCCTTGCTGGGTTTGGCACCCAACATTCTCCTTGAGAGTTTGTGAGTAGTGGTGTGAACCAAAGGGTTGCTTAATAAGATGTAACAAAGCAGCCTTTGGTAGGACACTACTGAGAGTACCAATTCAGGAAAATTGCTTAGAGCAGGGCACTCACAGCCCAAGGCCGGGGGTCCTTTGCACACCTAACCAGCCAAACAGAGAGGACTTCTGGTTAGCCAGTGGGGTAAAACCAAAGTCATACAAGCAATTCCCTCAAGCACTCCAGTTTCCCAATGTCAACACCAGCACCACTCCTTATGGGGATGAATGGTTACAAAAACCAATATCCCAGTAAAAGGAAAAAGGTTCTGATCCTGAAGGACCAAGCTCCAGACCCAGGTCAATATACAAGTCAGATCTTACCCACAAATCACACTGTTGCCAATCCTTTAGAATTTAAATTCTAAAGGTTTATTCATAAAAAGAAAAATATAAATGAGAGCTAAAATTGGTTAAATGGAATCAATTACATATAGTAATGGTAAAGTTCTTGGTTCAGGCTTGTAGCAGTGATGGAATAAACTGCAGGTTCAAATAAAGTCTCTGGAGTACGTCACAGCTTGGGTGGGTCATTCAGTCTTTTATTTAGAGCTTCAGTTTGTAGCCAAGTTCCTCCAGAGGTAAGAAGTAGGATTGAAGACAAAATGGAGGGGTTTCCACGGACTTTTATATCCTCTGCCATGTGGAAGGACACTCCTTTGTTCTTATTGTGGAAAATCACAGTGGCAAGATGGAGTTTGGATTCACATAGGCAAGTCACATATCCCTGCATGACTCAGTTCTTTACAGGTAGAGCAGCCATTGCCCACATGCTACCTTGAACGTTCCCAGGAAAGCTGCTCCATGTGGGTTTGGAGTCTCCCAAGGTCCGTTGTCAGGTAAGTGTTTCTTGATTAGGCACTTAATCTGAAGAGTTCCTTCTCCATAAGCTGGCCAAATGCTTCACTGGTGCTACTTAGAATCAAACACATTGAGATACAAGTACGTAGCCAATATTCATAACTTCAAATACAAAAGTGATACACACATACAGACAGCATTCATAACCAGCAATTACAGCCTTCTCATAGACACCTTACTTGACTTCCTTTGTACAAGATTTGGTGCTATTATAGGACCTTGGTGGCAACAATGATCTATACGGTCACAGTTCATGTCAATAATGTCACAGAAGGCAGTATAGTAGAAGTTATAAAAACAATCTATATTCTTATCTAAATTACCTGGAGGCTTGCAATCTCTTGGCAGAGACCCTGTCTCCCAAGCAACTACCTCCTCCTGAGAAAGCCACTTCTGTCCAGCCCAAAGTCCTGTGTCTGTTTCCTGGGCCTTTGGGCTCTGCTGCCTGAAACTAGTCTGGTGACATCAGCTGGTTCTTGCCGCGTGGAACTTCAAAGAAAATGATTCTTTTGTTGTCCTTTAAGTAGTGCCAGATGGATGGCAATCTGAAGCCATTGTACTTTCTGCCTAGAACAGTCACCCTCTTTCTAAATCCCATGTTTTCTTTCAATAAACATCTTTATAACAATCAGACATATAGTATTAAATTATTACAGAGACACCTCATGTGCTTCACGGTAGTTGTAACCGACACCACTCTCTTGGGAGAATGTTTCCATAAATTCATATGATTTCTCTTTCCACACTCTAGTGTGGGGTACATCTGAGGAAGCAGCATCAGAGAGAATTTAGCAAAGGAAACTGAGGTAGATAGTTTTTCATCTTCAGTCTCAGGCTGAGCCACGCTGTTCAGTGACTGCCTGCAGAATTTAAGTAAAGATCAGTTTGAAAGGTAAGGCCCTATTGGGCAAAGCACTTGAATATGTGCTTATCTTCAAGTATGTGGGCAGTCTTACTAAAATCAGTGGGAGTACTCAGAGGCTTAAAGTTAAGCATATGCTTTGCTATATTAGGCCATAAGTAAACTTTACTTATTTAGACTGGATGACTGTCCCAGGATGCTGAATAGTAGGGTACTTAATCCCTCTGAATTACTTCAATTGTATGTCCATTGAATTTGAAAAATTTCTGATTTTTAGATCTTTATACTCTTTATCAGCCAATGAAAGTTGTTAGCAATAGTTCTTGAAGTGCCACTGTACAAGAAACAAAGTAGCCTCTAAAAAGAGTATTGGATTTTTGTTTTCTGTGCTGTGAACTTTTTGCATGCCAGACATATTTTTATATGGTTCCTTTTTTTGTTTGTGGTTTAAATCCAATTTATTCTCAGGCTTTACAATTTTAGTTTTGAATTCTTACCAGATCAAAACTGGCATGCAAGTTACCAGCCTTAAAATAAGTGTTTCCAAAGCAGCTTGATACAAAGAGGAAAAAACGAATTGTGGGGGAATTGAAATGCTTTTTTTGCTACACCGCAGCCAGATGATGTGAAATACCACTTCTTGCTATTTGTTTAAATGCACCAAGCTATGTATTCTTCATATGCTCCCAAAAGGTATACTGTGGCTATGCTAAGCCTGGAATTCTTATACACTGATATGAATGGGTGAAAACATATAAACTACTTGTGAAGTTTACTACTGAGAAGTGTTACAATTCGAGCATAGCACAATTATGGATTTGTTTTACAAAGAAAGGTCTAGATTCAAAGTTAATCAGCTGGGTTAGTTATTTTAATGTAGCTTTTGTATTTACTATGCTGTATACACAAAATTATTGTTAAGGTACTTAAATTATAATGGAAAATTGCACAACAGTATTAATGGGGAACCACACTTAGATGTGTTGGAGAAATGAAATTTGAAGATCTATTCTGATGGCTGACTGAGTGAGGGGTAAGGGAATGGGGGGTGGACAGTGAAACAAGCTTTTTGTAGCAGCTTTGTAAACTGGAAGGTAGTTATTTTGGTGGACAAAAATGGGTTGCCTCCACCTTATTGTACAGTACTTAACTGGCAGATTTATCCACTACTTGTGTGGGGGTGACCATCTGGGAAGGGACTTATTTTTGACATTCTAATTGACAATTTCAGGTGAAATAATGCAATACTATTGGGCTGGAAGTTAAACTTTGTATCTTTTTTTCTAGGCACTTAGAAACTATCAGCAAATTGTCACATTAGTACCAAAAGTAAAGTGTTCACAGGTATAAAAATGAACTCGTTCTCGTTTGAGACATTACACAATATCACAGTCAAGTTAATCTAAAGGGGAATATATTATTATATCAAACCTCTTCCTTATACACCGTATGGCCTGATTTTGGTGATTTTCTTGAATTGGAAAACAATTGTCTTTACTCATTAAAGAGCAGAAAATTTATTACAATTATTAATATTTGTTTAAAAAGTAAAATGTGTTGTATGGTGTTTTATTTTCAGGGAAGTGCATGCTTTTATTTTCAGAATAAGAAGTATGTCTTTTATATGAAAGCTAGTTTCATGTAGACCAACTTCTCCAAGAATCTTGAACATATCTTTTAACTTGTTATATACTAATAGTCAATGTTCTTTCAAGCTGCTTTATATTAGGGTCCAGGCTGTGCTGGTGGCTGGAGTGACAAAGTATTAATTTTTATTATAAACATACGAACTCCTGATTGAAACTTTCTTCATTAGAAACTAAAGTTAGAAGTCTTACCAAATAGGCCTTTCTTACAAGCACATAAACTTCCCTCTAGTTAAGTTTATAAGGAAAAGATGAATGATGAGTCTAGTCTAGAACATGGATCAGAAATCATTAAATGTTTCTTTTGGGTTTTATTATAGCTTTTTGTTAACAACAATCCCAAAGACTTTCAGAAGAGAGACAAATCCTCATGCTTGAGGTCTTATGTCAACATCCCACTACTGGGGTTTGGAGGGAATATCCCTGGGGTCAGGTTATCCCATAACTGCTTACTGTAGGTTTGTATTTATTTATTTTACACTTTTTTTCTGAATATTTAGTATTAACCCCAGCCAGAGACATAATTCAGGGCTAGAAAGACAACTCATGTAGTTGAGTTGTAGATGACCACAGTCCTTATGATAGGAAGGATGGGTTTAAGGGAATTGAGCAGTAGGAATAATATATGAATTTGTATTTTAGATAAAGGGGGAATATTCTAGGGAATAAGATGTATTTTACAGACCAACATCAATTTTGCTAATGATTCATATTTTACAAACAGAAGATCTGATTGCATTTTAACTTAAATATCAGCTGTTTTCCCCCTTCATTTGTCATTTCTCTCTCCCTAAATTCTGGTGGTTTTCTACTTTCTCA